TGGGTGCCTGCGAAAAACCTTAAGTGGGTAGGCCAGGATCCGACTGACTAGATGACCGTCCATGGACAATAGTTCATGAGACAAAATTCCTCTCTTTATTTGTATCCATCTGAGGTAAAGGACCCAGTTCCTTGACTTCATTGCCAGTCAGCCTCTTTGACAACTGGCTGATTGGCTAAAAGGTACATGGTCTCAGAAGTATTTCAACTTGTCCTACACCATGACTTGCTTTGTTTCTCTTGATAATGCTTATCTTTAAGTGTCTTTATCAGATAATTTGGCAACAGAGGACCCTTGGAACTGCCACGGCCCACCTCCTCATGGTTATGGACTTCCCCAGGACCCCCTCCAGTTGCCCACGCTTGGCTAACTGAATTAGGCAGAGACTAAGACTGTCACGGGCTGGCATTACCCACGTGGCTACCCTTAATCATGACACATTTTTAGCCAAAGACGGGTAAGATGTCCCATGACAAGTGCTCCTAAGACAGGACATGCACATGGCCTCTTAAGACAGGACATGCACATGGCCAGGTGCATGATCCAATGACAGGCAAGGCTAGATCAGAGGTGACACAACCTAAGACAGGCAAAAATGCATAAGATTAGAGGAAGGAGATAGCCATCTCTCCTCAGGGAGCCGCCTATGAGGTGGGTAACCCGTGAAATAAAGTCAGTCCGGCCTTAAAATAAAAATAAAAAGGGGGCTATGTGGGGACCTAAAAGCCCCACCTTGCATAGGCCTGAAAGGAAGTTACTGGGGGCATGGCCTGTCTTGCTTTGAAAGTCTGAATACTTCCGCACTGCTGAGGAGTGCATGATCAGTGCATGACCATCCTTAAGATACACTGTCAGTGGGGAGGGGGGAGTTCCAGGTGCCTTTATAAGCTTTGTAACGCCTGCAATAAATGAGTCTCTGCCTAAGACTCCCTGTTGCGTCTGAGTGTCCCCAGGTAATGGTGGTGGCGTGGGCTGGCAAACGGCGTGCTTACTCATCCTCAATCCTCACCTCGCCGGGGGTTGCTGGTTCAAACCCCTGGCACATGCCTGCCTTTAATCCCAGCACTCAGAGGCAGAAGCAGGAGGATCTCTGTGACTTCAAGGTCAGCCTGGTCTACATAGTGAGTTCCAGGACAGCTGGGGCTACAGAGACCCTGTCTCAAAAAGCCAAAAAAAAAAAAGCTTCATTTTGCAACAGATGAAGACTGTTACAGAGATCTACAACTGGTCAAAATGCAGAGATTAAGTGACTGAGTCCATTTAGTGGTGTTCCTATGTTCCTGTGTTGATGCTGACCACTTGAGATTAGACAGCCTCTCAAAGAGCTAGTCTCTGGAGAAAACCGATTCTTTTTCCCTCAGCATTTGTCAAGTACCTGTAGTTCTTCATCTAGGGGTGGAACCCTGTGTCATTTTCCCCATTCACATTAGCATGTCAACTACTATGGAGACTTGATGGGTACAGCATCCTTGTCATGTCTAGAATATATTATCTAGCAGGAAGCATCCCGTTCCTCTGACTCTTAAAATCTTTTTGCCCCTTCTTCCAGGATGTTCCCCGAGCCTTGGGTACTAATTGGAGTTAGGCAGCCCATAGTCACTTAAAAAAAATTTATACACGCCATATTTGAACAGAAATAAAATTTAACCCAAAAGATAATATAAGGTATGGTTTAAAAAAACCCTCTTATTTTGAATATCATCCTTGCTTTAGGTTTTGTGTTCTTTCCTCCCAGTTGACCTTGGTCTTCACTTGATACTTTTATCATTATTTAGGTCCAGTTTCCTAACCCATTAGAACAGGCACTGTATATCTGCTATGTGAATCCATGACTTTTTTTTACTGTAGATCTTCAATATTTGTATGTCCCTCTGTAAGTCTTGATAACCCAGGGCCTATTATTCTGAAGCCCTCTCTCTGCTCTGTGGGCCCCAGATAGCTGCAAGGGACAGAGATGGTCGGAGGTTGTGCCCTGGGCAGGCTGTTTTGCCTCTCAAGTAAGCTGAGCCCTAGGCCCTCAGATGTGGGTTCTTTATCCCATCTCTAGATGGGTGATTCAGGGCAGGGCTACCTCCCACTGCTGGTAGGAGGCTCCCTCCCAAGAGTCCCTGCAACTCCCCACTTCCCCAGCTTACTGTGACAGAGTCCCCTTCACAGTCTGGGGAAGGCTCCAGATCGAAGTCTTGGAAGACCAGCCTCACAGCAAATCCCTCTGGAGCCTTGATATCAGTGTGGCTTTCTTGGCCTTTGAGATATGGCTCTGGGTATCCTGGGGATGTCAGCTGCTGTGGTAGCCACTGGGCCAAGAACACAGAGGTCTGAGTAGGGCAAGCCTGGAAGATTCCCCAAAGGAAAAGCCAGTACCTGTGAGTGGGAGAGGCAAGATGAGGCCACATGGCTCTGGTCTGAGGCCTGTGAACACACTGAAGTTGACCCGGTGGTGGTTCAGGATTGAGAAGCCTAGAAAAGGCAGGGGCCAGCAGCTGTGTTCTCAGCCCCGGAGGCCTGGGCACTTCCTGGTGCCGTTTTCATCATCCCAATCTCTCTAGTCTCCTACACAGCCTGAGCTCCAAGACTAAGTTTTCTATCCTCTGAAGACACGCTGTGTCTCCTCTCTGTGGTCAGTCTCATCCAAGCCGGGTGGCCTTCTGCTTCAGCCAATCCCAATCATAACCAGGGACACAAGTGAGGGGCATTTAAAACATGTTTCCTGGCTCAGATCATTGAACAGACCACTACTAGGAAGACCACAGAAAAATTAGTTTTCTCCGGATCTGTCTCCATCTGTCTGTATCTCTGTGTGTCTGTCTCTCCCTCTGTGTGGTGTGTGTGTGTGTGTGTGTGTGTGTGTGTGTGTGTGTATGCAACCCAGTGTCTTACCTTCCCCTCTCCCTGCCCCTTTCCTCCTCCAGGCCCCTCTGTAGGACAAACTCACATCTTGCCCAGGCAGCTGGTAGAGGGAGAGATTCTGCAGAGGTGGGTCCCCCACTATGGCACCAGGCCTCTGGAACTCGACATCTGGAACTGGCTAGAGAGCTTGGCCCAGGCCAGGGAACAGGAGGTGGAGCTAGAGGAGGCCCTGGGGAGAAGGCAGAAGTTACTGGAAATGAATTAAGTAACTCTACTCCAATTTCCCTTTTCTAGCACGCCTAGACAGTTGAGTGCCACCTGCTGTCAGATTGAGGAATAGCTCCCCACCACGATTGAGGAAAAAAACAATCTTCAAAACCAGGCTGATTCTTCAGAAACCAGAGTAGGAGAATGTTGACCCTTTACTCATACTTATTTTGGGGTGGGGGTGGGTGTTTTAGATAAGGCCTCATGTAGCCCAGGCTGGCCTCGAACTCATTAAGTAGCCGGGGTTGGCCTTGAACTTCTGATTCCTCTGTTGAGATTACAAATGTGTTCCCCACCACACCCAAGTCTTGTTTGGCTACTTTTTTTTTTCTGATATCTGTTATGAAAAAAATTGTTTATTTTGGTATTTTATACTCTACACAGAGAAACTTCTCTAGTAACGAACTATAGAAATGATCCCTGAAAGTATAGTCTTTTGTTTGTTTGGCTACTTAAAAAAATTTTTTTGTTTATTTTTTAATTTATTTTTATAGATTTAAATTGAGGTGCATCATATATATATATACATACATATATATATATATATGTGGTCTTTTTGAGACAGGATCTCCCTGTAGCCTCAGCTGACCTGGAACTTGCTATGTAGATATGTAGACCAGGCTGGCCTCAAACTCACAGAGATCCACCTGCCTCTGACTTCCAAGTGTTGGGATTAAAGGCATGCACCCTCATGCCCAGCTATTTATTTATATTTTTGTGTTTTGCCTGCATGTATGTAATTGTATCTATGTCACGCAAAGCCTATCATAGGCAAGATCCCCCGGAACTGGAGTTAAGGATGGTTGTTAGCTACCATGTGGGTTCTGGTAACCAAATCCAGGTCCTCTGTAAGAGCAGCCAGTGCTCTTAACCTCTGAGCTATCTCTCTGTTGGGAGACTTCTGTTATGCAAAAGTCGAAGCCCCTTCACACCGGACAGCTCGGGGAATGTGCCGCGGGCTCCTTTTCATAGCAAGGTGCTTTCTGGCATCTTTCCTGTCTCTCCCTTTGAAGTGGCCGCCACAGATGCCTTGACATAAACATGGCCTTTGGCTCTATGCATACCATGCCTTCCTGTGTGTGATTTTTACAGGTAGACAATAGTCTAGCAGAAACCCACTTCCACATGTAAATAGAATATCTCACAAAGTATCTAAAAGCTTTTACCACTACCCCCATGGTATATAAATATGCTAGTCTTCTCTTAATAGTCGGAGATCAGGTCAGAGACTGAGACCCGGAGATCAGGTCAGAGACTGGGTCCCAGAAAGCTGGATCAGCAGAGAACTGGACAGCAAGGAGCAGAGATACAATAAAGC